CATTTAAGTCACTTAATTTGGCTAGATTTCTAGGCCGGAAAAAGGACTTTGACATAATAGGTAACGATAACTTATCATTTTCTTACTTGATTTTATATTGTTTTTAGCAGTATATGAACATTTGTCAAACTCGGGAGTTATTCGTTAATTCAGGTTAGACAGTTGGAGAAATCACTTTTCTTAATTATACCTTGATGATAAGTTTCTTGAGCGTTTTTATATTCTTAATAAAAAATGATTTACATGTTTAATATTGTAACGTTTATTAGTCGTCATGGAGTTTTATTTTCTCTTAAAAATTATGTGTTTATCTTTTTTATTTATATTTTCCACTTCAACTTTCTGTAACTCAACATCTTTATTATTTTTCAATTCTTTGAGAACTGATCGATCAAAGAGAATAACTCCGCTTCCTACTATAGATATTTTTATCAATATGGAGTATATTGTTACTTTGGCCAGATTACCTTTAAATTGCATAGTTGTGAAAGGCTTGTACGTAATGTTTATTGATGCCAAACTTATAACTCAAGGTGAAAAAGAGTATTTCAAATTAGTAAAATACATGAAGCATATGAAAGAAGTTGTGACCAAAATTCCTTCTGTTTTAATTTTATTCCTCCAAACTTGCTAACAATGTAAACTTTTTTTCTTTGGGCTTTTTGCTGTTGTGCCGTGGTAACTATATCTTTTGGAAACAAACATGTAGCTGATGTGCCTCCCCTCCCCCCTCTTTTTTCTTTTAGGTTTTCAAATTTGTATGTTTAGATACTTTGTAAAAGGAAAAAACAAAGATACCTTTTTCAAAGAAAAAAATTACCTTTTTATACATGAAAATTGTTATTTCTTTTATCCAAACAAAATTTTCAAAAAACATCATTTTGTAGATTCATTGATACCTGCGCTTTTTTATTTAGGATTCTAAAACTAAAAGTTTCCCCCATTTGATCTCCTTAGGGCACATAATAGTAGTAAAAATTACACGGGGCGCTCTATTTGGTCGCCCCCATTTAATCTATATCAATTTTTTAAAAAAGTTTTAACATGTACTCAATTTTTAAATAACTTCAGCCACTTTCTCCTCCTCCTTCTCCTAGTTCGTTTTCTTCTTCTTCTTCTGTTAAAAGGCCTTGGAAAGCTTACTAGTGTGATTAAATAGTAAATAGATATTCTTTCAGGAAATCTCTCTCAAAGAAAAAATTCCAGCTTAATTTGCAAGAGTACTTCAACTGATAAAAAATCATCTTTTGAGATGAACAGAACATCACCATACTTCCATATTTCTCAAGTCAAATATTTTTGTATTATCAGAGAATTGACGGTATTCTCTCAGCGTAACTCAAAAGAAAAATAATATATTATATTTATATTCGTTATAACTATAAAGAAAGTGAAAGGAAGAGCCCTACAACTTTCTTGTTATCATCCAAAAAGGTCATGGAGACACCGTTGTTTGATTTCAGTTATTTCTAGACAATGTAAATGACTGTGAGATCTATCTTACACTATTGTCATAGATGATACAAAAACTTCAGCTCTAGAGTTGAAGTTCGTCAGTTATAAACAAAAACTTTAGCTCTAGAGCTGAAGTTCGCCAGTTACAAAACAAAAACTTCAGCTCTAGAGTTGAAGTTCGTCAGTTATAAACAAAAACTTTAGCTCTAGAGCTGAAGTTCGCCAGTTACAAAACAAAAACTTCAGCTCTAGAGCTTAACTTCAGGTCCGACTACTAGAATGCTGAAGTTTTGCGTGATTGCCTTTGCTATTTCAACCCCGTATGCTGAAGTTATGCGAAAAATCGGGTACACTTGCAATATTTTTGCAAAGCGAGCACAAGTTAAAACGTAACACAAAAAACGGGTATAGATGCAAATGCCCCGTAATAGTAACAGAAGGTGGGCTTGGCCCACTTTCCTTTTTTTTTTAATAAATAAAATCAACCAAAGTCACTAATTTTTGGCCCAATAACTACTTATCTATTCAAATGACATTCCTCTATCCCTTAAATACTATTTCCAAATATAAGTATATATTTATGCATCCGCAAATAAAACTAAATTTTTCCAAAAATAAAAATAATTAATTTCGCTAAGAAATATACACAAAAGAAGAATAAGAGAACATAATTAAGACTATTGCTCAAGGATCCATTCTAACAACTCAAACCCACTACCGAATATACATAATATTAGTAAAAATAGCACGGTCTAGCCAGTTTTCGGACTGGTCATTCAAAAATAGCCAGCGTTTACCAAGTCAATGAAAAATAGCCACTATTTTGCTGCAACAGAGACCGGTCCAGCATAATATACTGGAGTTCGGTGCACCTTGTATGAACCTCCAATATATTATGCTGGATCGGTATACTTTGCTGGCTCCAGTATATTATTCTCGACCGGTATATTATACTGGAACTCCAGTATATTAGACTGGAGTTCCAGTATAACTCCAGTATATTATGCTGAAGTTTTTTTCCGTATTTTGAACAGTGTTTTCGTTCAGATTTATCTTTACATGAAAAATGGCTAAATTTCGATTACTTTTGAAACTGGGCTATTTTTGAACGACCACTTGTAAATTTGACTATTTTTGAATTTCTCTCGTAATACTATTTGCATGAATTTCACTATCCCCTACAACTGCAAATGGTTAAATCAAGCGAAAGGAATATCATAATAATCAAATGACTCGTGAAAATTTATGGGCGTTATAACGGCGATGATGCTTCTATCAATAGCGTAAAGTTCACCACAACCCATAAGCTCAAACGATCGATCACTCATGAACGGTATGACGAACTCGAAGAAAGTATCATCTTCGATAAGTCAGATACCCCCGGTTTGGTTGTCCCTCAATATGATGCCCTTGTTATCACTTTACAAATTTTAGATACAGATTTGAGATGCATTATGGTAGATGATGGGAGCGGTGCATGCATTATCCACTCTCGAGTACTTGCACAAATGAAATTCAAGGAAGATAGTGCCGCGTTGCATCACACTAACATGTTTTAACAATGCAGTTGAACGAACTTCTGGAGAAATCATACTCCCCGTCTTGGCCGGCGGCGTTACTTTGGAAACCACATTCCATATCATGGACCAGGACACGACATACAATGCCATAATAGGGCGACCATGGATACACGCCATGAGAGGCGTCCCCTCCAGCTTGCACCAAGCCATTGAATTTCCATCTCCATGGGGAATATTAAGCATACGAAGAGAACAACACACATCTCAGGAATGCTACCGCATCGTCCTGGACTGCACGATCACTGAACAAATGAAGGTGATAGAATATTAGGGTCCACTAAACTCTATAGAGAACCAGGTTCTCTATAAGCTTTAACAAAACACACGCACACTGCAGTAAGCAAATGGCAAGAGAAATTTTAATGTGGAAAATTTTCAACTCAACGGGATTAAAAACTACAATCTACCCTTTTAGGATTTCAACTTCACTACTAAGCAACTTTTAGATTATAACCTATGCAACCTAGGAATTAATCTTTTAATCCCTCACTAACTTGTGATACTCTATTACAAGTCACTTTGTAATAACTTTATTACAAAGACATTACAACTCGACTAACTCTAGCCAAGAGTCAAACACAAGGGTTTAAGATTTACAAAAGAGTTTCCTACAGAATACTTCTAAAAAAGCTAAGTAGGAATTACACTTCAAGAACTATTACGAAGTTACAACTCAACTAAGGACATACAATAACTTGATGTGGGAACTGGTCCGTATGTTATTTTATTCTTTGTTCTTGATGCAATTGAGAATTGCTTGCTGGATGATCAATCACGTAAAAGAGCTTGAGTAAATTCTCAAAGTGTTCAAGTGACTTTATTTTACTTTCCTTGGTATTAATAATACATGTGTGACATTACACAATGATGTAAGCAAGGTAGGTAAAAAGCCTTCCACAGAAAGTTGACTGCTGCACTGTTTCTGTACTGTAGCGTGTGCATACAACAACTTTTTCAGCTGGAGAGTTGACTTCGTACAGTTACCTCGGGAGCTGGTAGCGACCTGTTCCCTTAGCTATTCCTTCGACTCTGAAGAGTTGAGCCATATCCCAAACTGGAACCTCAATCTTATGGTCTTGAGAATGTGTAACAGGTTCCTTATCTAGTTCTTGATAGTAAGTTTGTTAGATCATTAAAATATAAAACAAGATACTTGTAAACAAGGTACTTGTAACCTATCAATTTTCCCTTTTTGATGATGACAAAATCATAATTGAAAATCCCAGAAAAAACCACACAGGACTAGACAGTGAACCAGAAAGACCTTAAGTTTCCCCCTGAATCTGCATTCCCCTTAATCAGTGCACAAAATCAGAACACAACACAACTATGCAATTATTATTCTTCTCCTTTTTGACATCATAAAAAGATCAGTAACATGCTTTTAAGTAATAAAGAAGTCTAGCCTTAAGTTAACTCATGCCACTTGTATTGTTACACCCCGTAAGATTAACAACCTTGATACCATTATATGTATATATTTGGTATGGTATTTTGAGTGGAACTTTTTTTTTTGTAAAAGAAAAAAATAAAAATGGTTGAAAAATATAATTTTATATAATTATTAATATTACTACTTTCGAATATGTTTTGAAGTATACACATAATATGAGAAAGTTTATGAGATTTTCTTTATTGTAAAGATAAAAATTATTTTCTCACAAGAAAAGAAGGTTATCTTTTTACCATTTTAAGAATTTAGTGTACGAAAATTTGTACTCTTTATATGAGATTAAGAAAGTTGAGAAAATATATGTATTTTTTTATGTGGATGTTTTAATAAAATAACAGTGTATGTATTTATTTTATATGGTATCATATGACCACAATAGTAGAGTATGTAAAGTGTATTTAAAAGTGAGTAGTATTTTAAGTAATACGAGACAATTCTTAATTATGTGGATAATTGAGTAATTATTAATTAGTTGAAGATTAACTAGTTAATTAAAGATTAATGGGTATTAATTAAGGTGTTGGGATAGGGCTTAATAAGCCCAAAACGTGGCAGCCCTCTTCCTTCACCAATGCATCGATTAATGCATTCATACCACTTGTATTCTTCTGTACGCCAAATTCCTTCATTCTTTTAAATGCCTCTATTGCATCCTCATATTTACCAGCCTTGGCAAGCCTTCTCATGATTTTAATCATAGTATTCAATGAAACATACCCTTGCAAGTGACTCATTTCGTCCATCAATTCCCTCATAAGATCAAACTTCTTCGATTTTCCCAAGTTGTCAACCATCAGATTATACAAATCAGAGGAAAGTGTGACACCCTTTTGCACTTTTGCCCATTTAAAGAACCCGTAAGAAGGTATCCACTCACAACTGAACCTCTTCAAAATTTGCTCAACCAAACACTCTGAAACATCAAATGTGCAGTTATTCAACGCATCTACAACAGCATCGGGTGCTTTGAAATGAAACCTCAATAATTTGTTGATCTTATCAACATCACTGTCTGCAATATCGCTTGCCAAACCTCTCACATCAACTTCCCTTGCATGAAGCTTCTCATTTTTTACCCATTCTGAGAATGAGGGAAGTAAGAAGTCGTCATCTCCAAAGTCAACCACTGTTTCCTCTTTCTTTACAATTTTAACCCAATCTGGAAGTTCTGGTGACTCGGTCACCTTTGGCTGCTGATCCGTATTAACTGTCTCTGTCACAGTACAATATCTATTGCACAACAAATCATCAGAAACATAGTAACCAGAACTTCTCCACACACTGTCATGTGGAACGATGCCACATCAAAAAAAAAAAAAAAAAGCAACATGTACTCTTCACCTATTCATGAATGTTGTCCGAAAAAAAGAGAGGAGGTGAACGGGTGTCATAATGGTGACAACGCCCATGGCTAGATGGATTTACTATGGCTTTTTATTAAGCGTGTTGAGAAATAATTAATAGGGACTTGTTAAATGATATAAATCACTTCAGTAGATTTGTTTGAGAAAGGTTTCAATTCTGCTATAGCATTATGAATAAAAATTATCAAAAGACCAAGGGGGTGAGCATACTTGGAAATTTAGTAAATCACATTTGGGGACCCTAGTCAGAAGGAGTACATGCACTATGTGAAGATGCCCTTATATATATAAGAAGAAAAATGCTTTAGGATTATGCAAGATTTTAACGTTCCTATAATTAGAACCAACCGAAAGTTAGTTGCTACTGAAAATGGAGGTCTACATAACCCTTCTCCTTTAATTTTCAATTCTGTATGGAATACGAAAGAAGTAAAGCAAGCAACAGACAAGTTCAATTATCCTGTAAACTCAGGTGTGTTAAGGCTAACCCTTTTTTTTTGGCATGATCTATACGATACAAACGAATGAGAAAATGTACAACTTCTATAAATAACTCTATTCATAGAAGTGTTAGAGGTGCATATATTCTTGAATTTCCATGTGTCATATTATTATACCTTCTATTCATGGGTCTTAGAATAATACACAGTTGATAAAGTTTATCCGAAAAGAATATTGAGATTATTACATATTTTCATGCATTTCATTCATTTATACAAGTGCATTTACCCGTGACTCAGAGGCGTGATGATGTTATGGCATTATATACTCGTATATATNTAGCCGAGATAATATGATGAGATGCCCTCATAGGCTTGATTATGTTATGTACGTACAGAACTATGCATTACATGACATTTATATGCATATGCATGATATTATAAATATTTCATGATATACAGAGTTATCCAAACTTACAGGCTGAGTCATGTATCCATGTTTCTTTCATGTCCTTTATATGTTGATTTACATGCCTTACATACTCGGTACATTATTCGTACTGATGTCATTTTGTTGGGGATGCTGCATTCATGCCTGCAGGTATAGACAATCAGTTTGACGAACCCTCATAGTAGACGAGATTGACATTCAGCGAAGGATCGGTAAGACTCCACCTCATTCGGAGTGCACCGAGTAAACGAGTCATCATGTCGAAGTTTTATTACATATTTATGGGTAGGCCGGTGCCCTTCCCAAGATGTCAAATAATCTTAAAGGCTTTGTAGACAGAAGTTTATTTTGTATAGTATACCAGAGGCCTTGACGGTCTATATGTATCCATGTTTTATGATTGATGGTTCATTAATATAACATTTGCCCACTTAAAATTGCACATTACGAGTTGTGGCCATGTTGGCCCATGATAGTTATAAAAAGGAATGAATGAGTTACAGAGTGTTTCGCTCGGGCCACTACGACACTGGGTTCCAGCCACGCCTCCACACGTTTGGGGCGTGACATATGTGCACTCAGTCATGACTAAAAAAATTGAGTATAAAAGCAAGGTATAAGCAGCAAAAAGGGAAAAACTTTGATTAACATAATTTGGATTTTGCAACAGGAGCAGAGTCAATGTTACTACCATATCCACAATTTAGAACCAAAATAAAATAAAATACCACAACCATCATCATAAGAACTGACACTGAGGGACTTGACCACAAACTAGATAATACACTTGACACCGGGAAAGACGCTATTTAGGGAGCACTAGAAGGAGAAGTTTTGGAGGCAGAGGCAAGGGTTTGGAGGACTAAATCCATTCGAGCTTTGCTGACATTTGCTCATTGAGTAGTCTCTCTTTCAGTTCGTCCACTTATTTCCTGAGCTCAGCGTTCTCTTTTGTCAGACGCGCAACCTCTCCACTTTGAGAGCTACTGGAACCAGGTGCCTCTTGCAGTTAACTTAACTGAGTCTCAAAGATAGCATTCCTTGCTTTCAATTGCCTTATCTCAGTATTAGCACTGTTTTGAGTATTAATCAACTAAGATATGGTAGAAGTGCTTCCAACTCTTCCAATCAATATACTCACATTCTTCAAGAGTAGCTTTAGAGAATGTTTGCTTCTTGGTGCCCACTTTAGCTGGTCCTAGAGGAACCTTGAAGTGCTCAAAAACCTTGGTGAGAAGGAACCCATATGTCAGCCCATGATCACCATCTTTAAAGTCTGCCACTTTATTCATGTGCTCTATCATGATCGCAGGCAAATTGATGGTAGTGAAGTTGTTCAGTGCTTCCATGAGGAACAAGTATGCACAAGAGGTGATAGATATTCTCTCAGCTCGAGGCAGTAATACCTTGTTTACCATCTCAAATAGCAGTTAGTATACAGGAAGGAGGGCCTTCTTCTGAACCCGTTCCCCCTGCTGAACTGCTCTGTCCTTCAAGATTGCATTTATGAAATTTTGCAAATGGGTTCCCTGAACATTGGACAGCCCTTCAGCAGGCACACAAAGAATAGACCCCAACAAGGCAGAGTCCATTACCATATTAACTCTATTTACCAACACGCAGATGTGATCATCCTCAACCTTGAATAAGTCGGCATAGAAACTTTGAACTTTCTCCTGATATACCTTTGGAGCATCATTTGTGGAAAAATGTGTCCACCATTGGAACTCATAGACCTCAACCAACTATCTCATACCGGCCTCCTCCAAGATATCAGGGGTAAATGTGCAGCCACATAGCACCTTTTGGTTCTTCAGTCTCTCTTTCCAAGCACTCCTTGGTTCACCAACCCTGACCTTCTTGGAGAAACTAGGTTCCTCATCAGTATTAGCTTTTCTCCTAGCAGACGTACGAACATTCTTCCCTTTTTCATCAGACTTCACAAATTTTTCACCCAGTTCTTCTATCATAACAGCACCAGACTCTTCCATTGACTTATCACCAGATTTTTTCACCACATGCTCACTAGTAACATTATCATCAAAATTAATCAAACTTTTAGCAGATACAGAAGATCCCCGTTTTGGCTTGGGGAGACCATGCTTTTGTGAGAGCTTTCTAGTGAAGGAACCAGGTTCCTCGACTTCTTCCTCATCCACATTCATAATAGGCACTATCTTCTCATTCACAACCTTGCCATCTTTCACTAATTTTCTTCTTCTTGACTTACTTGACTATTCTTAAGCGCAGATGCAAGAGCCTCCTTCTTTTGCAACCTTGTAGTGGGTCTCTTAGGAGTTGTCCCTTCATCAATAACTGATTTATGCCTAGGCACGCTGGCAATCAGTAAATCATCAGAATCCTCATCATTATCCTCCTTTTGTTCTTCAGACACAGGTCTCATCTCAGGCACAAGCACACTCAAAGGTTCATCATCTAAATGAGGAGAAGGAGCAGGGTCAGTACTGACCTTGGGTTCCTGAGAGGACCCCTGAGTTGGATCCTCTAAAGAGGGATCAGGTCCTCCAGCAGGTTCCCCGGTAGCACCTTCCTATGCATATAGTTCAATGGGTACAAGTTCTTCCCCCTGAGTCTCAGACCCATCTTTATCTCCTTCAACAAAAACCCCTTCATTAGCAATGAATAACATGTTCTCTATTGCTTCTTTCTCTAGTCATGTTGATACCCAATTTTTCCCTCATATATTTTTAAATGTATATATACTTTCAAAATAGTGCATGAACATCAACCAGTATTTTTCCATAATTTTTTGTGATTTTAAAAGGATTTTAATTAATTTATTCTAGCATTTTATTATGTAAATAATTACTAATTGCATCACAAATAATTTTATGATGATTTATTACTTGATTTTTTATCATTTATATTTATATTAAGCTTTAATCATTTTATGTATAATTATATTTGTATCTTTAGACTATAATTGCAATAACTTTGCAATAATAGCCCATATATACATAATTATATTATTTACATGAAAAATAACTTTTTATATTTTTATAATATTAAGTAAATATTTTAAATCATCTTCATGTACAAATGACATTTTTATCATTTATAAATTATTTTATAAAATTAGTTTATTAAATTAAATGGATATTTAACTAATAGCCCTAAATTCTTATTTTTTTTCGAATCTAGGCTACCAAACCAGCCCAATGCCTAAAATACCTAGCCCAATTACCCTGACCCAATTATCCTACCCGTCCATAACCCGCCCAGCTCAGAATCGATCCTGGCCGTTGCCTTCCTTTTTTGTTACGCTAACCCCCAAACCCTATCTCATTCTAAAATTCCGCGGCCCCTGAATCCCCTCATCCTCTCTTCTCTCTCAACCTTTCCCTAACCCTAGACTGCCGTCACTAATATCCCCCTTGACTCATGCGGTTTTCCTTCGATTTTATGCCTTATCCGGCCTCACCCCTCTATTGGTTATACGATTTCTACGCTGCTTGATGTGAATCTCAAGAGACTCGAACCAAATCTGGTTCAAAGTCTCTCCTTTCTTGATTATTCCGTCTATGTTCACTCCGATACCTGTGAGTACGAGTATCTTCGTATTTTTGGGGTTTCAAATCTCTGGTTCAAACAAGATTTGATTCGCTTCTGTCTTTTTATTTTATTTTATGAACCTAGCTATTTTCTAGTTGAATCCATTTAGATCTCTTTAGATCTGAAATGATTTTGTGTTTGTTTGGTATTTTTCCCTTAAGATTTTCTATTCTTACTATTATTATTGACTGATTTCGTTTACCCTAAAAGCTAGGGTTTTGATTTCTGATGGATTTCTGCAAAAAAAAAAAGGTTTTAGCATTTAAATGTTTTCATCTCTGACTTTCTTCTTTACTTTTCGATTGATTTTTATTTGATTTAATCAAGCTCCATGTATATGTCTTTGTATTTCTTAGGGTTTTGATTATTTGACTGTTTATCCTACTGTCTTTTGCCCGTTTACCTTTAATTCGGTCAATTAAGTGTTAATTAATTTTATTACCCAAATTAGGGTTTGAATTTAGTACCCGCACTTCCTTATTAAGGTTTTACCTATTTTTACCTTATTTATGTGATTAGTTATCCATGCTACTGGCCTGATTTTGTGTTCTGACTTTTAATTGATCTCTGGACTTATTACTTATCTTATTTAAACCTCAATCGTGACTGCTGATTTATTCCGTGTTAATTTAAGTGACACTTCTGTGATTCTGCCTATTAATTGATTCCTGCTAGCCCTAATTGACTCATTAACCGATCTCTTTGCCTTATTTGTGTACCATTGATTCTCCTACCTTATTCGGTTTTACTCTACTATATGCTATAAAACCCTTCTGACACGACCCAAAATCCACCAGTCGTGATAGCACCTAACCCAACCCGCTAGGTAAGCCAACTAAAGCTATCCAGTTTCAATAATCTTATTAAGCCGATTAAACAAAACTAAATTTACTGAATTTTATATACATCCCAAGGACTGATAGTACAAATCATGAGCTTCTAAGAATAGAGTTTACAAATCAAAAATGAAAGAAATACATAGCCTGTTTGAAAAGTACATAAACAGAGTTTTATAAGCTAAGGCTACCCCGAACAAAGGAGGCAGCTACAACATGGATGCCGGTACATCTTCAAGTCCCGCAACCATCGAGTACAACAACAACAACAACCGACATATGCACGTAATGTGCATATGTGTAGTATCAGTACAACTGGCTCCATGTACTAAGTAAGTAACAGACCTAACCTTAGGTTGAAAGCAGTGACGAGCTAACACAGGATCGGGTCTAATGCCAATATTTTCCACAACAGTTCATAACAACATAAATGCAATTATAAAAGAGATATCTCTAAAGTAAAATACTCAGCTCGTTCACTGTTTTAGAAAATGGTCATGCTTTTCAAATATCTCAGTGAAAGAAAATCCCAAATCTCTTACCAAAAATGCCAAAAGTACGAGTAAGTTTGAAAATTGTAATTTTCCAAACATCCTTTTCACAATAAATAAAATATTTCCTTTTCATTCCAAATAACAAGTATAAAGTACCTCTCCATACCCACATATCAATGTGTATAATAAGTCGTGAATGATGTGATATTATATAGCATGAGGAAAAATGCATCTCTATGTTGGTATGTCATGTATGCATGTAAATGCCATGTATTTCAGAGCTGAAACATGTACTCACACTCTCAGAGTATTCAATCTCATTGCCTCGCATTCTCTCTCGCGAAGCTCAGTACTCAGCACGCTAAATTACTCAGCGGTGTATAATAACTGCTGCGGCGTGCAACCCGATCCATATATACATATATATATTCGACTGCGCTCACTAGGGGTGTACAGACTCCGGAGGGGCTCCTTCAGCCCAAGCGCTATATCACTGCGCCGTGCAGCCGGATCCAATATCGCTGTGGCGTACAGCTCGATCCATATATCGCTGCGGCGTGCAGCCCGATCTATATACATATATATAATTAAAAAATTGCTGCGGCTTGCAGCATGATCCAAAAAATGTCACTCTCGCTCAGGCTCTCGGCCTCACTCAGTCATCAATCTCTCTAGTCTCACTCACATGCACACAATGTCATGAATTTAGCCCGACAACAATGATATGATGTATCAATAACAACAACTGAGACTGAGATATGATATGAATGCATGAATGTGACTGAGTACAAAAATATCAATGGAAATCAGTGAGATAACAACCAGAAATAACCACTATGAGTACAACCGATATCAGCATGAAGTCTAAACATGATGTTTAGCATGATTGACAACTCAATTACTTTATCCCATGGTGAAAACACAAATATCAACAAAATAGGGCCACTATACAGGGCCATGGGAACAAGAAAGTCCTAATTCACAGGGTGCACGCCCGTCACCTAGCATGTGCGTCATCTCAATACCAATTACATAACACATATTGCAAGGTTTTATACCGTCAACACTATGTTTAGAAGAGTTACTTACCTCGAACAAGCCAATTCTAATATCGAGCAAGCCAAGCGATGCTCCAAAAAGCCATCCCGCGCGTTCCGACCTTCGAACGGCTCGAAACTAACCAAAAACAACTCAAATACATCAAACAGTTCTAAAGGAACCAATCCCAATTGAAAAATGTCGAATTTTTAATCAAAACCCCAAAATCGGCCAAAAAGCCCAACCCGGGCCCACGCCTCGATACCCGACAAAACTCATAAATCCGACAACCCATTCAATTATGAGTTCAACCATACTAGTTTCACTCAAATCCGACTCCGAATCAGTGTTCAAAACTCTAAAATTCATATTATGAAACTTTAGGCCAAAACCCCCAATTTCTTCTTTAAAATTCATCAACCAAAAGCTAAAATCGAAGATAGATTCATAAAGTATAACCAAAATCCGATTAGAGAA